GTAAAAAAATTTTGTTAGTGAGAAAAACAGAAAGCTTAGGATTTCATTCGCAAAATCAATGATAAATGTACTCAAAATGTACTGGAATAATATCCTATTTGCTGACGAAAGCAAATTTAACATTTTTGGTTCCAATGGTAGAATAACTGTAAGGAGAAGAAAAAACGAGGAACTTCATTCTAAGAACATAGTTGGAACAGTTAACAGGGTTTGTACACATTTCTGCGCACGGAAATTAAGTACTTTTAAAGACTTTTTTAAGGGCCATTAATGAAAAAAATTAAGGACCTACGAGCAAATGGGAACTGAATAAATTCAATTAAAAATATTATTCTATGCCTGAATTTCACTTTTGTAATACCATCCTAAAAATAAAATAGATCCCTAAGTAGTATGCATTACTACTAAACATGAATTAACTAACATAATTATTATTAAGTTTGAGAATAAAATAAACTTCAAGTATCAAGTAGCATTAAATATTTTAATGCTACTTGATACTTGGTTTATCAAGTAGCATTAAATATTTTACACTTATAATATTTGGACATATTTAAAAGAAGATAAGAGATATTTATGTTTTACTAATAGTAAGCTTTATGCTTTTTTTAAATAAATATATATATATATATGTGTGTGTGTGTGTCTTTTTTGTCACATACTTGGTCAGTCTAAAGGTTTAGCAAATAGTAGGGAGATTTTATGTCAAACAGCATAGGTTAAAATGAGAAGTGAGATCATAATCAGCATGATTCATAACCAAAAGACTGGATATTGTCCCTCTGCTGCTTGTCTATAGAGAGACCTGCTGATTAGAACAAACCAGAAAGGCCTGATGTAGGCACGGTTGGCAAGTGTTAAAAGTTAGTCAAGCTCTGCTTAATGCAGTTAATGTCATAGCTTTGTGTAGAGTTCCAGGGGCTGTAACCCAGTTAATATACTTTAAGGTTCCAATAAGCCATTAAAGCGGCAGAGGGGATAAGTTGTTTTATATATAAGTCTCAGTAGATGCAAAGAATAAGTTTTACTTGATGGTTACTTGATGGGTGTTAGATGATGTAATCTGAGACAATTACATGGGAAAAACGCTTACTATGAAAAAATTAAAAAGAAGACATTTTAATGAATTACATAGCTAATTTTGCTTTTACTAAGAGCTGTTTTGTAAATTATGCTTTATAGCTATATACCTTCTTTATTTTTCAGATTTAAAATATTGTATAATAAGCTGCCAAAATGAAACTTTATAATATGACAGCGAAAAATAAAAATATTTTATTTTAATGTTATTTTTTAAATATAATTCTAATATGTTACCATTATTTTAATGAAATTTATCAATGTTATGTTTTAAAAAAATCGCCAAAAAATTCTCAGATCTCAGAATTAAAAATTTTCTACAGAAACTGATCTTAAACTTGCCAAAATGTTGACAAGTTGTCAAATTTAGAACCATTTAATAAAAGAATTCACAACCCCAAAAGCGAAAAGTTGTTTAAGAGCTCTTTATTAGAAAAAAATGAATTTCGAAATGCTTACGTTTCACTTCTTGCTTAGAAACTCGAGTATCCCATCATTTATATTAGAAATAGAAACAAATTATAACCCATGAACCCATTCAAAAGAGAACCATATACGTCAGTGAATTGCCAGAAATATTCCTCCAAAATGCTAATTCACACTCAAAATGGCAGTCGTAAAAACAGAGAAATTTCAGATGATTAAAATTAAGGACCTTCTACTGATTTTGGCCAAAATTAAGAACTTTCAAGGACCAAAAATCGATTTAAAAAAATTTAAGGACTTTTAAGGACTTAAGTACGAACCCTGGTTAAGCATGGCGGTGGAGGTGTTCTTGTGTGGGGGTGCATGGCAGCATTAGGACTAGGTAATTTGGTATTTATCGATGGCATAATGAATCATTCTCTTTATTTAAATATTTTAAGAGACAATTTAAACTTATCAGCCCAAAATTTGGGTATTGGAAACAACTTTATTTTTAATCATGATAACGATCCTAAGCATACGGCTCCAAACGTTCGTCTGTGGTGTCTCTATAATTGTCACAGGTTTTTAAAACATCACCTCAGTCTCCAGATTTAAACGCCATAGAACACATTTGGAAAGAATTGGAGGTTAAAGTATAAAAACATGACATCAAAACGAAAAGCGAACTCAAAACAGTCATGATGGAAGAATGGATGATTGATACAGAAATTACAAAAAAAAAAAAAAAAAAAAAAAAAAAAAAAAAAACTAGTAAAATCAATTCCCAGACGTTTAAAAGCATTGTGGATGCTCAAGAATATCCTACTAAATATTAATTTAACAAAAAAGGAAAATATTTACTAAAATATCAAGATTTTTTTTAAGTGTACAAAGACTTTTGTGAGATAAAATGTTTGTCCTTTTTTTATTATTAATTTCTTAAAAATAAAGTTTTGCTATATTTTAAAAATATTTCATGTTATTTTGTTACGAATAGATTATAGATCTTATTATTAAAATCTCATTCAGAATGTTTACTTTTAATTAATGGATAGAGCCCTATTTCAATGAAAACCATAAGTGTACAAACACTTTTGGGAGACACTGTATATTAATTTGTTTTTAATTTTAAGATAATAAATAGTATTCAGCAATATATTTGGTATCCAATGCGTTTAGTATATTATTTCGCTTTCCTTGCAGTGTTACTTTTTATAACATGTTGTTGTTGACTAATGCTCACTTGTCTGACCTATAGTCAGCTCAAGCCCACAAAATTTTTCATGGCAAGGATTGCAAATATGCCTGTCATTGGCTACAGTCTTAAGCACCTTACAGTGCAATTTAGCTCAGTTTGGCCCCAAATTTGACGGAAAGCACCCTGGGGGGAAATGGGTCCGAACGTCTCCCACCCCTCTTCCCCTACCAGCAACTTTTTGAGAGGATTTTCGCCTTGCCTATTTAGAGTGTCCCCCATGTCGCATGTACATAATACATTTAAAAATATCCATGTTTTCTCTGGAATTCGAACCCGGGCCCTTTGGCACGGCAGTCGGCAATGCTAACCACTACACCGGTTGGGCGGTTTTTTATAACATAAATGTATGTATAATTCTTCAATAAATATGTTTGAGTATGGGTTTAACAAAGCACAAAATGTTTGCATATTTAGACAGAAGATAAAATGTAATTTTTTTTTGGTTTCTCACATTATTATGTTTATAATGCTTCATTTTAAATGTTAACTATAAACAATGTCCCTTTAACATCGTCACTACATAAAGGCGCTCGCTAAACATTTGCACGACGATGCCGATTAGGGTTGGCACACGCCTGGCAGTATGAGCTTGGAAATGGCGGTGACGTAAAGTGTAGACATACCAATAAATCAATCAACTCTGAAAGAATTAATGACACCATTATCTTTAAAGAGACATCATTATCTTTTTGTAGGACCTTACTTATATTTCCTATTAAATACATCAACTATTTTTATTACTCCTTTTAAAAACTTCATTTATGACAAATTTTATAATGACTACGGATAAAAGAACATTTCCGGAAATAAAAACAGATTATTTTGCTAAAACCTATGAGCGGCTATTGATTATGAACAAAGCTCAGATTGATAAATTTAGGACTGTTAGAGAAAAAACTTGAACAGAATGTTGGGTTACTTAATTTTTGAATTCAATAGTTAAAAATACTTTGTTTTTTGCATACTACCTATTTTCCTCTTGCGTACCACCAGTTGAGAAACACTGGTCTAAACATTCCCTAAGTGTTTTTATCATGAAAATTAGTACTTCATTTAGCAATATGAAATTAAAGTTTGAGTTCAAAATGCATAATTTAAAAGGCAATCAGAACATTCCTTTTCTTTGATACAATGACACTATAGTGTGCGGCAGCGTTTATAGCATTATTTGACTTGCATAGTACAATGATGTATTGCATGAATGCGCGCCAGCTCATACTGCATGAATGCATGCCAGCTCGTAATGCATGAATGCACACCAGCTCGTACTGCATGAATGCACGCCAGCTCGTGCAGCATTCGTGTACTGATTGACTGATTCGTGAGCTGCCATTTCAAGTGTGACAATGATATGGATCAGTGGAATGCACAGCATTGTGCCTTTGCTGTTGAAAGTTATTTCAAGAATAACTACTCTGTTATTGCTACCCAGCGTCTATTTCGGCAACATTTCAACTTGGGATGTCATGGGAAAGTTCCAAATGGATGGACCATTGCATTTCCTATTTTGTGTAATTTCCCGTTTTGGTGACATTTCCTGGCCGCCTCGCTCACCTGATCTTTCATGTGCAGACTTTTCCCTTTGGGGCCACCTGAAACAAGAAGTTTTCCGAACACGTTGTGCCACCATTCTTGAGTTGAAAGATCGCATCAGAACTGCCATCGGCAATGTCCCAGGGAATATGTTATGCCGAGTTAATGGCAAGCTTTTAACGCCGCCTAGAAGAATGTGTTGTGCAGAGGAGGCATCATTTGACAGACATCATATTCAAAAAGTAATCCACGCAATGGACAATGACTTACACGTTAGTAAATGGCATACCTTTATAACTATTAATTGACTTAAGAGGTAATAAATATATTTCAGTTACTGCCTTATGGTGTGTTTTTAATATCCCACTATAAATGCTGCCGCACCCTGTACTACCTAAAAAATCACTTCCATTATTATCCTTCCCATGTAGTATAAATGCCTCTTCTTCCACAATGAAGTCATTTATTGGAGTTCTTTCTTCGTTCTTACTGAAGTCATTAATGTATCATTAACCAACTCATTTCTTTAATACTTACTTTATTTTGACTACCTGAAGAGTAATTTCTTAAATTTAAAATGCTGTCTGAGAGCTTTTTTTTTTTTAAACATATGCTGGTATTTTTTTTTAATTATAAAGCACTTATGCTCGATACATGAGAACACTGGGTTCAAATAATAAATGAAAATCCTGATTATATATGAAAAAGCAGAATATCATACCATCTGGCTTTACATTGTTTAGCTGATTTCCTATGAAGGAGAGATGCAATTCTAGACCACTGATTTTTGCCATATTTCATAACAGCAGCCTTAAGTATTTCATCCTAAAATAACAGAAAAATTATTAAATTCTCTTCCAGACTATTCAAAAATAAAATAACTATATAATAAATAAAAAAAAATATGAGCAAGTTTAAGCATTATATAACAAAAGTAAATAAACTATTCTTTAAACCTGGAATTCCAAAATTAGTAATTTGAATCCTAGAATTTTCAATATTGATAGCATTCATTTCAAAACTTTAAATTTCATTAACTTTACAAAATGCAAAGGAAATGAAGAAAGAGAGGAGGGGGAAATTGTTAAATCTTGTAACTGATCTATTAGATATACAAAAGCTTCTGAATTATGTTTTGTGTATTATGATACACAACTCATTAAATATTACATATAGACTGAAGAGCAATATTGAATAAGGGATAACTTGCATTATGCCAATTCTGAGTTGTGTGCAAGCCCAAAAGTGATTTGCAAATGATGTAGGCAGCAATTTGACAAGATAAGGAGTGCTGCTCACGTTACCAGTAAAAGTCAAAAGCAAAATGGGTAAGATTACAGACTTAAGCCTATTTGATGTGGCCAAATCATAAGGGTCATTCCATTTCAGAGGTAGTGCAGACATTTGGATTTTCACACAGCACTGTGTCAAGGGTGTGTGTGAGTATGTGAATTCCAGTAAAATCATTCCTGCCAGTGTCAACTGCCGCAGACAACGAGTGGATGATTGAGGTCATCGGCAGTTAGCCCACACTGTAACAGTGGATAGACAGGCCACAATGCAACAGATCACCAGTCAATTTAACAATGGCGTACAGCAATGTGTACGCTGTCACATCATACAAAACCATTTCCTCTCAATGTGGTACAGGAGTCATTGTCCTACGAAAGTCCCTCTGCTGACAAAACATGGCGTAATGATTAGCATGGGAGTGTGAACATCATCAATGGACCATCAAGATGTGGAAAAATATTACCTGCAGTGATGAGTCAAGATTTACATTGACAGCCAATGGCAGAGTACGTGTATGGGTTGATGGCAGAATACGTGTATGGTGTAACATGAAGCAATGGATCTTTCCTAACAGCAGGGGACTCTCCAAGTTGGTGGAAATGGTATGCTTGTCTGGGGAGCGTTCACATGGGCTGAAATGGGACTCCTGGTATGCGTGACATTGTCTTTCACAGGTGAACGTTATCAGGATATATTATATACCACCGTTATTAAGTACGTGGTCATAATGTTTTGTTTCTTTAGTGTATACCACTCATAATGCTATGCAGTTTAACATGAGAGCACTACTGTGAATGCGGATAATATTGCCAAGCAATTTTTTATAAATATTTATTTTCAATAAAAAAGATTGCTATACATATGATGAATAAGTACAGAAAATATTACAGAAATAGCTCTATTTCTTTTCTAAAGTACAGTTACATCTATTTTTAACTATAGTACTTGCCACTTATTAGACTCAAAGGTTAATAAAATCATCCACTTAACCTTCCAGCACAAGCATCATGCACAAAGTTTATGACAAATTCGGTTTTTAATGAACTTTTTCACATATCGCAGCTGAGACATTTAATTTCATTTTTATTCCTCCTTTCAACCCTTCCCCACTGCATGGAATGTGCCAAAAGAAGTCATATGCACCTCTTTTATTTTTACTGGGCTTTTGTGCTACACGGCAGCTTCTTCATAAAAACTGTGACACACACGCGTTCGTGGGTTAAAATTCGAAACTTTTTTTCTCAAATATTTTGTAATTTTGTGTTATTAATTGACATGTATTATTTTAATTTGTATAAATTCGACTCTATATTTTTTATATCAGTTTTCATGGTAAAAAAATATGTGCGACCGGCTGATTTTTCTAGCATTCTTCAAAAATTATCTGATGAAGAAAAAGACGACAAGGAAACCTTTTGGATGTGAGAACAATAGCGATTTGTGTGAAGAAAATATAGAGATAAATAATATCAGCAGTGAATCAGAACAATAAATTTTGGATGAATATAGAAATATAGAAAAAAAGAATGATTATATGTTTGTAAGGATAAATCTTCTAAGTGGCGAAAAAGTATGCAAACTGTTCAAAGTTGAATAAGATGAATATTGTGAAAGTGCTACCTGGCCTTAAAACCATGCCAAGGATATAAATGATGAAATAGGATCATTTTTTAAAATAACTGATATAAATACGCTTGATGAAATTTTGGAATGTACAAATAAATATATAAGTTTGCTAAAAGGCAAATACTCAAGAAACAGAGACTGCACTGCTACCTCAAGATGCACACTTTGGCACCTCAATGATAACACACTTTGGATTGTTATTTACGATGGGAATAAAAAAAAGGACAGCATGTAAATGTAAAAGAATTGTTGTCAAGTGATGGCACTGGAACTGAAATAACAAGAGATGTGATAAGCTACAAGAGATTTTTATTTCTGATAAGTTGTCTTAGATTCGATGATAAACAAACAAAACAGGACAGATGAATATTAAAACTAGATTGGAGTTTAAAATATAGTTATTAAAGAATAAATTTAAAAGTTTCTATAATGAAATACATAATTGCCTTTCGACCTGACTAATATAAGCATTTAAAAATAATTTACTTTCATTTGAATGTGACATCATTTGTATTTTGCAATAATAAGGTTAATATTTTATTTCTTAACAAATTTATTATCAATATTCACACACTTATGCCGTTTTTCGTGCAAAAAATGGTAAAATAATGGATGTTGTAAAAATTACGATGCACATGTGCTCATGTAAAATTGCCAAGTGCACTTGCTGGAAGGTTAAAACATTCCAATTACCAGGAACCAAAACAAATACATACTGATCAATAGAAAAAACGCCATTTATTAAACTCAGAAAATGACTAATTCTTCAGTGTCATAATATCAACATAGTTTGTAGTTCATACATTTCTTTATTGTAGATCTTGGCTTAGTTATCGTTCAGGTATGTAGTGTTTCATTAGCACAGGTTTGACAGAAATTTTTCTACACCCCCAATTCGTAAGACACTGTTTTCAAAGCTATTCATTTGCAATGGAGTTCAGAGTGACTAATTTCCTTATTGAAAGTTAATAAAAACAAATGTCTTGTATATGTTCAGTTTGTTCTTTCTTGAATACAAATTGATAAGAAATGCAACTTCTACATCCCATTTAACGTTTATTCATTAAACATCTTCCCTTTGAGATGCACATATTATATTCACAGTGAATTTAAAAAATTCATAAAAAGCTTTCTAGCTTTACATTGACCATCTTTGAATGGAAAGGGAATGGTACTGTAGGCGCTCCTTTCTGATAGAAAAGGCAAAGAAAGCAATAGTCATGAATGTAATCATGAAGCGACAAATCAAATTAACAGATTAAGTGCTGTATTTCTACTAGCTAAAAATATGATTTTTGAAAGTGAATAAATCGCTGGAAGAATAATTTTTTTTAATATGTTTTATGCTTAGTTTACACATTGAAAAAGCCAAGCGAAAATATTTAAGCCTGAAAGAAAAGATAAATAGTTTAAAGATTTTGAGGTTTTCGCCAAGTGCCACCAGAGAAAAAATGAATTTAAAATGACAATTCCCCAAACATTGTGTAATTTACTTAAAAAAAGAATTATAATTGATGAACTAATAAAAATGCAAATGTCTGAAGGAAGAGCAAAAAGCTGGAAAATCGAGAGATGTTAAAACTACTCTTTAGGAATGATTTCAAGCTATGAAACTAAAAATGTTTCTATTTCTAGAGCTCTTTTCACTATAACAGATATGAAATGCACTGAGATAATAACAGAGAATTTTCTATCAACTGACAGATAACCTCACAAGTTGGAAAGAGAAAAATCTAACGTTAATACATCGTTCAATAAGTCTCAGGACTAATAAACAGATGGCGTTAGTAATATTAATTTGACTTTGTTGTTCAAAAGAACTGTACAGAAAAGAGATAGAGGGTGCTGCGCCGCCCGTATGTGTAGCTAATTAAAAGTTTTCACCAGAGAGAGTTGAGAGATTGATGAGAGTTTTTGAGAGTGGTATAAAATAGATATTCTGTAATCTGTATATAATACTTGTATATAGTCTTCTCTTCATAAATAGCTTTAGTTAAAGGAAAATGTCTTTATTTGGTATCATAACATATCAAGATCCACCTATGCCACGTATGGAATATTGAGTAAGTTATTACATACATCAAGTTTTTGGTAGCATCAGACCCGAAGGTGAGCCATTTCATTTTTATCTGCATGCAATTTATCTTTGAAAATGTGTTTTGAAGAAACTATCGAGAGAAATAGAAAAATTAGAGGTTCGGTTCGTACCAGTGTAACAAAATTAATAAGGAAATTAGAAGAGGAATTGCAAAACAAGAATCTGAACCTAGAAGTGTTGCAGGAATCACTTTCACTGTTAATCGAGAGAGCTTGTTAAAATATGATGAAGTTATTAATGCTCAAAGCACTGTTCAGGAATTAGAGACAGAGGTAGAACATTGTTTAGAATACAGCGAATCCATCATTAGATGTTAATCGAAAGTCAATAGATATATTCAAAATGTGGGTAAAACCGGAACAATTTCACAAGTTTCGGAAATCAAAACTAATTATAATACTAAATTACCTCACATTACTTTAGAAACTTTCAACGCCGATTTATGTAAATTTACTGAATTTTGGGCTCAGTATAAAGCTGCCATTCACGAAAACAATAAGCTTCAAGATGTTGAGAAATTTAACTATTTAAGATCTTTACTCATCAGTTCAGATGCAAAATCTATAAGCCATTAATAGGAGAAAACTATAAAAAGGCCATCGAAATCTTGACTGACAGATTTGGGAAAAAAGAAATATTAGTTAGGGCGCATATGAACATTCTCCTAGCTTTGGAGCCAGAGCCAGTATGTTGTTCAAGTGATGTATCCAGTTTAAGAAAATTACATGATGAAATAAGGGTTCAAACAAGAAGTTTAGAGACATTAGATATTAATTCTTATGGCAATCTATTACTTCCTATTCTATAC